GATTTGGTTTCTTAGGCTTTTTTTTACACTGTAAACATATGTCTTTTCTTATTAATACATCACAACAAACTTTTGTTATACTGATCTTCAAAGATGTTTGTCATGTGTTGTTTATGTAATTTTATTTTTAATTTTTGTAATTAAGTATACTTTGAGTAATGAATAAATGAATGAATGAAGGATAACCAAATATTTGATTTTTTTATTTGCTCTCTATCTATGTAATACCAATAGTTCTAAATTGTGAAGCATCTAGAGCATGTTAGAATGTAAACCTGTACTTCCACTGGTGTGCAGTTACTGAAATAGGTACTATACAATCTAAATATATAAATAAAAAGAACCACCATTTTGCTTTTGCTAATTTTTCAGCAGTAAATAAACATCTTAAATTCTTGAGAACTATCCTGTCTTGATCAAGCAACCTATTCTAGCTGTAATTACAACATGCAAAATGAATGCTTTCAAAATGCAACACATCAACACGGAGAGTAATATTGGGAGGTGAAGACAACATGGAATAATTCCAAGGTATTTCAGAAGCAAGAAGAGGAGAGATCCAACACAAATATTTCCCTAATTAGTATCTTAAAAAACTGGTCATGAAAAAAGGGATAGGATACCAGAGTCATGTTGAGTAATTATGACTTCTTTGTTAAGAGAGTTACTGCAGGCATTGCCAGAAGCACACATATCATCATATGATTCAGATTTGCATAGGACAGCTTATTCTTTCATCTTCTTCAGTGTGTAAATGTTTTCATAATTTGTTTCAGGCTAAAGAATCAATTTAAAAAAAGACATACAATTTTAGGAAAGAGGATATACATTGATCAAGAACTAGAAGACAGATTGCCCTAGTTTTCTCAAAGACAGACAAAATAGACACAGTGAATATCACTGAATTGTAGCAAAGAGAAGGCATTTGTCTGAGCCTCACAATAGGAACCCAATAGTGAGATATTTGTTTTAGGCACATCCAAAGACACGTGTTGTAATGGCAAGTTATAAACTGGTCAGGTTAAAAAAATAGGTGACAAAGTGGGATACAATATTTAAAAAGATAAAGTATCTACAAAAGTACAAACAATTGGCAGCTATCACATGGAACAAAAAGCTGTTGTGATCATGAAAAAGAACGTTTTTAGAATTAATTTCTGCTGTCTGTTGAAATAATGCAACTCCAATTAAAGTTAAGGAAATTCTAATGATGTAAATGAAAATAAAATGTCCTGGTTTCTAAATGACTAATATTATCTTTCTGAAAGAAAGTATATGGCAGACTCATGTCATAGCTGTAGCAAATGATGAGAATGTCTGGAGCACAACATTTATAAAACACATTCAAATTAAGTTCTTGTTTAAAGATACCAGATTGACAGTATGGAAACTGAAGTCCTCCAAGATCTCTGCTGATGCACAGAACTGCAGATGGTGTTTTAGCTAACTGCTTGCAACTACACTTCAATATCAGGGGGCCTTTTCTAAAGGAAAGAAAGCAGTTCAGTCTCCAGTAACTATTTGTTCCTGGGCTTCTATATCAGACTGCTAAGAGGGTTTGCAATACACTAGCAGTATTGATGACTGTTTCTATGATATGAACACTTGACCCCATAATTCAGACTGAAACTACCAATTCATTTCACATACAGCTAGCCACTAAAAAGTTGGTTGGACTTGGAGGTAAAATAGCCTATATCTTACAATCAGCGCCCTGAGTGTGATAATCAGGTATTCAGGCTTCTTTTCCATTATTTCAAAGCTTAATGTTTTACATATCAAGGTCCTTGCCTACTTACAGCTTCCTCTTTTTTGTATATCAGCTAAGAGGTATTAGACATCTGGACACTTATGTCTGTAATCATTCAATCACATTTTAGGCAGCCAAAGCATCCAAGATTCACCCATATGGCACACAGCTGGATTTAGCCCATCAGTAAGACACGTGTGCTGGCAATAGATTTAATGCTATATTGTAGTAACCTTCAAAGAGGTAGGAAGGGGGAGGGCTATGTCTAGCAGCTAATATCTGTGTATATTTTCAGAATTTTTTTGCCCTAGGTTAGAATTCAAATATTATTCAGCAGAAAGGCCCTTCCTCTTTCTCTTGCTGTAAAACAACATTAGGTAATGTGTGGAAGCTTGAAAATGTTCACTTCCTGGCCTGCTCCTGAAAAAGTTTACAGGGCCCAAGAATCTTGTGCCTCACTTACTGTAATTCATCAACTGGGATTAGGCAGATGTCATTTGGATTTGAATCACAACATGAATTTGTCCAATGAATATAGGTTGAACCTCTCTAGTCCAGCACCCTGAGGACCTGACCAGTGCTGAACCAGAGAATTTGCTAGATCATAGGAGGTCAAGATTTCCTACCTACACTTCAATTGCTTGATGGGGTCTTAGAAGACATTTAGGGGTAAATTAGAGCTAAATCACAGCACAGAACACTAAGAGCTAGGACTGGTGGCTGTAAACATACTTTATGGGACCACAGAAATCTTGGCTACACCAATGATAAGTGGATACTCAGCTACCTAAAATCATGCGGGACAACGGATGTTGCCAGATCAGAGTTTCAACCTGTATTTGTATGAATGTACCGGACAAACCACAGCATTTCATTTTACAATTATAGGCCATTTATAATTTGATAATATTTTCACACCAACAGCTGAAAAATACCAAATGGACATTATTTTGCAAAATTTGGATGCATATATTTTACAAAATTATGTTAGTAGTGTACCTTTTGTTGAGGAACACAGCAACAAGGAGACATTTGTAGCCTCACTTTGGAGGTGTTGATTACCCAATCCCCAGCAGCACCCAAAAAGTCAGTGGGATCTGTGGGTGCTTTATACCTTTGAAAATCAAGCCATTTAAGACTTCTACAGATCTTGGATTAGGATAACACAGCTAAAAATTTATTTAATGACAGAAACAAAATCAGAGTAGGATGCTAACAAATAGCCCCGAATCTTAAGAGAAGGTTGATAATCCTTTTTTTTTTTTTTTGGAAAATCCATGATATGCTATTGACTATAAAAACATTAATGGCTGAAGCAAGTACTAGAAAAGTAGTTGGTGAAAGTAGCAGACTGATACTCTATTGACTATAAAAACATTAATGGTTGAAGCAAGTATTAGAAAAGTAGTTGGTGAAAGTAGCAGAGCTGAAAAAAATCAATAAAGACTTATAGGATGGAAAAATAAATACATCCAAAATTAAGAAAATTAAGTAAAGCAGCAAATCATTTAAACTTTAATTGCTCTTATTCAGAGCTGCAAATCAAAATACTGATACTCAATTTAAAAAATGTTTTTTTCCTCTAAAACTATAACTATGTTAGAAAAAAGGAAGATCATGATGCTGATTTTGTAAAAATACTAATCTGAGCAATTTATTCACACTGTTGAGAGGACCAAACTTGCATTGTAACAGGCAAAAAAGAATGGTACCATTATTAAAGGTGAATGAACCATAACCTATAAATTACAGACTGTTGCAGAAGCATGTTTTATAATCATAAATTACTTTCAGAAAGCCTAAAATACAGATCAAAGTAATACATTTAAAGAAGAAATGCTGCCTGTGGTATATAATAGCCAAGCAAATGACACAAAAGGGGTGTAGAGAGATTGGGACCACAAAAGGAAAAAGCATACTTCACTGTTTGGTGTAGTACCAAATAGAAAACATTTTCTATTAGATGAATGGACCTGTATATGTTTGAATGTATTAAAATAATATCCAAAACTACAGGTCATGATGACTTTAAACTACAGACTCCAAAGCATAGATGAGAGAAAAGGTTTCAAATATTACCTGATTCAACAACACATCTGGAAAGAATTGTGATAGGAACAGTAAGAACTAGTTGCTATGGAAAAATGCTCTCAAGTAAAGTATGGGTGGCTCACACACGTCATACTTTCCATTCTGGGATAAACTGCCATTAAGAAGGAAGATCACCACTTAAAACAAATAGCATCATAATTACCATTTCTCTGTGAAATGAAATCCTGGAGAGTCTTTACAGACATCTGTTTACTCACCACACATGAATAAACATTCTGAACAGGTGAAAGGAAATAGCAGTCTATTTCTTAAATATCAGTACAACTGTTCTAAAGATACAGTACTGACAAAAACAGTGCCTGTATATCCACTGGAAAAAGACAGGCTCTAGCTTTTTTCAGTGTCATGTAAAGGACTCTATGTTAATTATTAACTATTATTCTACCTTTCTGAAGACTGGCTGTCCTGTCAAGCATGATATCAAATGTAGCAATTATAAAATCCACATATTTACAATCCAAATATAAATTACATTCATATTCTCTAGGCAAAGGTAACAATGGTCTACTGTATTCTAGCAATGAATTTAAAACATTTGCCTCAGCCTCTAAAGCAGGTTAGAAACAAGTCCAACTCTTCCTCAAGTAAAATGGCCACGCAGAAACTGTGGAAAGAGACATTGAAAAAAAGAATTGGAGGGGAACACAAATCGATATTTGTATTTTTCTGAATTATGAGATGGACCATAGTTCAGCGGGGTGCAAAATGGGGTCACACAAGAGTTTCTAAGTAGGGAGGGAATGAAGAAACTTTGTCTCTTTGCCTTTTTAAAAATCAAACATACAAATAAAAGCACAGGCTGACTTATTTTCAACAATTTGGTAAGCTTCCTAACTACAGCACACATACTATGACTTAAAATTAATTTTAATTCTCATTCATTTTAACTCATATAATGATTGATAATTGATATTAAAAAACATTAACCATTACATTATATAATAGTAGTTGAGAGCCAGGACCTCTTGGATTAAGTCAGATGCTCTAACACTAAACCAAATGAATATTCTCCTCTTGATGTTTACCCTCCACTTCTTGTGTGAAAAAAAGCTTCAGATTTTGAGTAATAAAAAAACCAATTTCAGATTCAGATTATTACATGAAAGAACTTTAGTCTATCGAAGAAATGGTTACTTACTGTAACTGTGGTTCTTCGAGATGTGATGCAAACATGTATTTTACTTGGATGACTCACAAGCAATACCCCATCCAGGATTGGGGGCTTGGAGTCTACTGAAATAGAGATTGCAGGACTGCCCTTCTCAGGCAAGCTCCCATTCTGGAAGATATGGAAATAACATACTGGTCCATACATTTATGTAAGGACAATCACGTGGCTTCCCTGCAAATGTCCAATATGGAAATATCACTGAAGAATGCTATTGATGTAGCTTGTACTCTCTCGAATGAGCTCATATCTGTTAGCTGAAGCTACCTCATGGGCAGTCTTCAGACAGATGTTATCCATTTAGAGCTGGTCTCTGCAGAGACTGATTCACCTTTTATGCAGTCCGCACAGGACATGAACAGGCGAGGCAAAGTATGGAACAATTCAGTCCTATACAATTAAAAGTCATCTAACATCCAAAGCATTGTTCTTCAGGGGATGAATGTGGCTTAGGGAAAAACAGAAGTAAAAACACCTGGTTCAGATGAAATTAAGAAACTATTCTGGACAATAATTTTTGGTGATGTCATAAAGTTACCTTGTCTTTGGAGAATTGCCTGCAACTCATACACCCTCCTCATCGTTGTAATGGTTATCAAGAGTGCAGAGCTCATTAGAGCTGCCAAAACTATATTTAGGTCCCAGAAGGGGACTGGATCTCAGACTAGAGGATGTAAGCAGAGAAGTCCTTTCAGAAATCTCAACACCTTGGCATAGAAGAAAACTAATTTTCCCTGAATAAGGGATGAAACATTGATAATGCTGCAAAATGCAGGCTCAGTGAACTGAATGAGAGGCCCAATTTCTGAAGATGTAGTAGGTACTTCAAAATGTCCTGGGTGGACATTCCTATTAGTTGGGTCCCATGGGCTAAAGTCCATACCAAACACCTTTTCCACTCTGTTAAATAGGCCATCTTAGTGGAGGGCTTCCAACTGTTGAGTTGTAGCCATTGAACAGACACCAAGTACTGCTCTTCTTCTTCATTCTGCCACAGAGCAACTACATTGGAAGATGCAGAGAGCTGAACCTAGGATGGAAGGTGAGGCCATGATCTGAGTGAGCAAGTCAGGATGGAAAGGAAGCAATATGGGAGGCTGAAATGACAGAGTAAGAATGTCTGAGAACCAGCACTGTCTTGGTCACACTGGAGCAGTGAGGATGAGCTTGGCCTTGAGCTTGAGCTTAAGAGCAAAACAGGTGATAGTTTCTGTTTTCTCTCATCACAATTAGATTAATCATAGGGATGCCCCTTGTTGTGATGATGATCTAGAGACATCATGGTTCAGGAAGAAAACCCTGCTGATATGGTCCATGAGAGAATTCTGTGTCCCCAGCAAGTAGACTGCTATTGGAGTGATAGCTTCTTTGATGCAGAATTGTCATAGGTTGATTACTTCTAGGCACAATAACATGGAATGTGCTCCCCATTGTTTCTTCACATAGTACATCATGGTGGTATTGTCAGTGAGTATGTAATCTACTGAATGTCTGATATGGTCCCAGAAGGCACAACATGCATTGTGAATGGCCTGAACTTCCTGCATGTTAAGATGGAGCAAGGATTACTATTCTGACAACAGATCCTTCACTCTCAGGGTACGTCTACACTAGCCCCCTAGTTTGAACTAGGGAGGCTAATGAGGGCAACTGAAGTTGCTAATGAAGCGCGAGGTTTAAAAATCCCGTGCTTGATTAGAATAATCCCGGATGGTCACCATTTTGGAAACTGACTAGCCCGAAGTAACTGCCCGAGTCTATATGCGGCAGAGAAGCGGGATTCCGAGATAAACCCCTTAGTTCGAATTAACTGTTGCTCCCTTCGAATGAGGGTTTCCCTGGCACACTTTACATGGGGGTGCTCACCAGCAGAAGACTAGGACTAGTGAAGGAAGGTGAATCCACCTATCCAAAGAATATAAGGCAAAGCTGTAGGCCTGAACAGGGCAAAGGTGCAACCTGCCAAACTGGACTACCTGCGTTCAAGTGAACATGTACCCCCAACAGGCTAAGGCATGTCTGAACATGTGGCAGGCTAAGATTCCAAAGTGAGGCAGAACAGTTGAATTCCATGGAAGTGGCTGGTCAGCAGAAATCTCTTCTCTAGAGATACCTTTCAGTAACCAATCAAGTTCTAGGAATATATGGATTCCTTTCCTCCTGACATATGTAATAACCATAATCATGCATTGGTGCAAACAGGGTAGAAGAGTGGTCAAATGGGAGAACCACATATTGAAACTGGTGCTCTGCAATCACAAAATGAAGACATCTTTTGGCTCAGAAGAACTGCATGGAAGTAGGTGTTCTGAAGGTCCAGAACAGAGATCCAATCTTTCTGAGAGAGCTCTGAAAGGATACCGATAGACTGATCATGCAAAACCTCATGTATTGATCTGTTGAGCCTGTGAAGGTTTAGGACAAATCTCATATCTCCTTTAGGTATTGGTATCAGGGAGCAGAAGCCATGGCCCCGCACTGCAGTGGAATTTCCTACACTACTCTCAACATCAGCAGAATGCTGGCCTGTTAGATGAGCTGTGAAAAGGGTCCTGTAAGAGGGATGATGAGGAGGGGAGGCAAGGAGAAAAACTCATGGCGTAACCCAATCTGACAGTATCTAGGACCCAGTTTCTGGAGGTGATCAAGCTCCAAGTATTGTAAAAATGGACCACCCTATCACCAAAAGGAATAGGGGAATGAAGAGGGCAAAGCAATGACTGCAAGGAGTCAAATGGATGTTTAGCAGGCAGCAGGGGAAAGCCTAAGGACTAGTTAAACCCTAAGTCCACTTGCGTCCTCTTGTGAGATCCTTCCATCTTTCTAGGCTAGTCCCATTGCTTCAGGTGGGCTGTGCAAGATTGTGATGTAGGCAGCTCTGTTACTGTTGCTGAGTCCCATAGCCGCATCTCTGTGTATACACTCCCATGGAACACAAAGTAGCCCTTTAATCATTAAAGAAATGTAAAGTGTCTTGTCCGAGAACAAGATGCAGCCATCAAAAGGTAAATGCTAAACAGATTGCTGGACATACAAAGCAATCTCAGAGTTTTGCAGCCAGGAAGCCCTCTTCATAATAACCACAGAGACCATGGCTAACGCATCCTCAATAACAAGAGGATTCAGGCATCAACCTAGCCTTCTGTGATAAATGCCCTCAACTCCTCATGCATAGCAAAGTTTGTTGATTTGGAATCCTTATCTGTAGGGACAATGCGGTATAGATCTTTCTGCCTAGAAGATCCAACTGCATGGAGACTCTGGAGTGGACAAAAACTCACTCTGATCTGTCACTGCCATTACAGCCAGGGAATTCAGGACTGGATAGGGATAGAATCCATCAAATCCATGCACAGGAATGAATTAGCACTTCTCCATGTGCTTAGCCACCAATGGTAACAAGGCCAGTATATTTCAGAGGGCTCTCGATGGCTCAAGAAGTTCATTATTAAATCAAGAGGACTACTCTCCCAGGTATAGAGGGCTGTAAACTGTCTACCAGCTGAGAGTGTTCTCCTGGAAAAACTGTCAGGTTGTCAAATGAAGTTAATCTGTGCAGCCAGAGTGAGGAATGCAGAAAACTGTATTTTCTCTTCACTCCCAAACGAAGGGTAACAGCCAGCAATATTCCCAGACATACTGCAGAGCAGAGAGGGTGCTCTTCCCTAAGGGGTGCCTGTGGAGTAGGAAGCTCACGGCTTGGGCACTCCTGGATTGGAGAAGTGAGTGCACCTACAGCCAGCATATTTCACCTGTCCTTGTTTTGCTTTATGTTATGATAAGAAGAAGTTATATACTGAATTTGGTGGTCCTAGCTCATACAGTTTAGGAGGAGTTCTTGAACAAACAAGGACTGACAGATTCACAAACTCTCTGATATATATAGTAGATTGTTGATGCTTCAATGAAGTCAGAGGAAATTAAGCAAACTTCAGAAGATCATAGAAGGTGAAGTATCAGTGCTTCCCCCCCCATAGGAAAGTTGTAGTTGATAAACAGAAGCCTTTAGTGTCTGAGGAAGTTGTACTCAGGTGTGTTGACATCTTATCTTGTTTTCTAAGAAGGGATTGTCTGGTCTATTTGTATTTTAAAAGAGAAAAGTCTATCTTGCAATTACTGCAATGTCTTATAAATGTATATTTTATAGTAAAAGATGATAACCTACTGATTAAATATTTGCACAGGACTTTTGATACATAAAGTAGGTATCTATTGGGATGGGAAGGGGAAGATGCTTTTACATTCCTTTCATTCTATACATAAAGTAGGTATCTATTGGGAAGATGCTTTTACATTCCTTTCATTCTGGTCCAGCTGCTGATCTAGTACAATCCCTTGCACAAATTAGAGCAGCTACAGGGCAAATAACACCGAACAGTCATTATGGGTATGTCTATACTGCACGGCTATTTCAGGATACCTCTGGTATCCCAAAATAGCAACCCCAAATCTACACAAGCCACCTATTATTTCTAAATACTATTTTGCCATCCCATTAAACCTCACTATTTCGCCATCCCGGTAAACTATAAGCTATTTCAAAATAGATTCAAGATAAGATACACAATTTGTGTAGCTCAAATTGCATATCTTATTTCAAGTTTAGGGTGATGTGTAGATGAACCCTATGGTAGCTGAAAATCAGCTCTGTCTCCTTCTCACCTGAAAGAGGGGTGGCACAGGAATCACTATGTTGGATCTCTATCCACAAAGAATCCCTCTCTGCTGGAAGTAGCTCCAATGTATCAAAGGTTTGAAACCTATATGTGTATTAATTATTGTGACTGTATCGAGTGAGGGCTTAGTTTTGCAAGTGAAATTTAATGTCGAAGACTTAAAGTGGCAGAGAAGAAAAAATATCAACAGCTACTCAGTAACAGAAGGAATCCCTAGAAATCATTGGTGTGTTGCTGATGTGTTAAATCTGTTATAAAGTTGTGGCCTTCATTTTATGAACACAGTTTTGTCACTTATTGTCTTAAAATCCCACTGAAAAAAGAAATTCTTAGTAGCTATAGTCACCAGAAGGATGCTAATTACCATACTAACTTATGAGATATTTACCACCTCAAAACA